ATCTGCCAAACAACCCAGCAATGCCTCGTCTAGGTATTTACCCTTATATTCACACAAATACCTATAAACTAGTATTCACTGAGTATTATTCATAATCACAAAACACTGGAAACAACCCAGATGTCCTTCAGTGGGTGAATGGATGAATAAACTGTGATATACCCATACAAGGGGATACTATTCACAATGAAAAGGTATGAACCCTTGATACACACAACATCAAGTATGAATGAATTGTGCTAAGTGAAAGAAGAGTCTTGAAAGATTATGTACCTTATGATTCCATTTTATGACATTCTAGAAAAGGCAAAACTTTAGAGACAGAAAACAGATCAGTGGTTGCCAAGGGCTAGGTTGTTGGGAAGGATCTAACTACAAAAGGGCAGCACAAGGGAATTCTTTGGGCATGTTGGAATGGTCCATTTAGCATATGGATATCCGGTTGTTCCAGGACCATTTGTTGAGCTATCCCATTTGGGGTGGCTCAAGAATCTATGCATGTGTTAAAAGTCATAGAACCGTACAATCAAAAAGGAGAATTCTAATGTTCGTAAATTTCTTGAAATTTAAAAGTCAGCACGTCAAATTTTGAAGCTGATTTGATAATATGCCCTTAGTAAATATGTTACAGGAAGGAAGCCTACTTAAAACCAAAACAAAAACGGGTCCACTGAGTGTTTAATTTACGGCACCATTTGTGTTTCCCTGGGTGAAGCGCTCTTTCTGATTATGAAAGTTTGCAGTAGGAAATTTACAGAAACCCAGGAGACCACAAAGAAATTACCTTGTCAGCATGCATCAAATACCTTGGCAGAAGAATAGTTCTCATAAGGCCAATTCTTTATTCTCTGAAGAAGCAGTTCGCCTCTTATATTAAAAGAAGTTTTCCTGGAAAACATCTATCTGATAGGCCTCTTGGAATCTGCCCTGAATTTGTCTCATGCAAAGCCAAGGACTCCATGTAAAAAGTTGGCCTGATAGAATATGAGAATGGCTGATAGTGTAACAGTTGTGGCTCTCTTTGCTTATCAGAAGGTAATGCATTGTATGTGAGGGTGTGGGTGTGTGTAGAATCTCCAGTATGTGACTATCTGTTGATTTCTTTGAATTGATAATACATTCATATGATTTGACATTCTGTAGGTGCCAAAGCTGCTCTTTATTAGTCAGAACACGCCAGTGGGTCTGTGCCAGCCACTTAGAGCTTGGTACCCATTTTGACTGATCAGTGCTGAAGGCCATACTGGTTATTAAATATATTCAAGATAAGCCCTGCAAGAATATAGATGAAAAAGTCTCCCTCTGTTTTGTGTCCTCATCTCCCCCTTTGTTTTCTGTAACTTTCAATACAGAGGCAGGAGGGCCTTTCGACATTGGGCTTTATGAAGTTGTGAGATGGTGGGTGTATTAATGACTTCGAACCGTGTACAGCAATGCCAAACAGGCACATCTTCTCCCAAGTCTGTCTCTAGCATTCCTCCAGGCTTCCTTTGAGGGCTCTCTTTCTTTTCCATTTGTGTTCCCCACCCCTTACTGTCACGCTGAGAGTCAGCTTGCCCCTCTGCTGACATTTTCCTGGGACCAATTTCTCATCTTGGTGTGAGCCCTGGGCTACAGAAAGCCACAGAACAAAATTCTGGCAAATATTTCCAGAGCAACAGTTTTTCTAGATGGCAAAACATTCAAAACATCACTTTCCTATGGCATCTTAACCCATATGTCAGTTGAGTCAACCCAGCCCGGGGTTCTAACCTTTAACCTGGAATGCACAGACCCTCAAAGGGTCCACTGGGTAAATTTCAAAGGATTTCATGTTCTTAGATAAGAAAAAAGATTATAGCTTTATTTTCACTAAACTCTCATTGAAATTGAGCATTTTCTTTTCTTGTGATTGCAGACAACACATCACAGTAGTAGTAGTGGTGGTAATTGCAGTACCTATGACTTTGTCACAGTAGAAATCAGATATTTTCATATTACCTTACACTTGTTACAGATATCTCACAATTTTTTAAGCTTATCACCACTTCAAATTATAATTATTATACCTTCTAATAGGTCTTATTACTTAATAAAGAAGCACATATATTGCTATATCACAAATCTGGTTTTTTCCCCCCAATATTCTGATACCTTTATTTTCTTTAAAATTTTGTCATTGGTTTTCTTTCTTTTTTTTTAATTGAATCATAGTTAATTATACATATTTTGGGGGTTCAATGTTGACATATGTTGATCAAATCAATATTACTAGTATGTATATTGTTACAAATTGTACTTATTCTTTATGCCCCTTGTCCAATCTCTCCTGATCCCCCTCTCCCTCCCCCCTCCCACCACTGATAACCCTAGATTTCTTCTCTCCCTCTGAAAGAGCAATGGTTACTCTGTTGATTTGTTGCCTAGATGATCTGTCCAATCTGAGAGGTATGTTCAGGTCCCTCAATATTATCGTAGAGCAGATGCTTCTTCTGTCACTCTGGAATGGGCTTTGCGGAGAGAGACATCCTCTTCTTTTCTTTACCTCTGCTGGTGACACTCCTTGTGTCAATCACTCCAGTGGCTGGCGGACCATCTGCATGATGGTTGTGATACCTAGCCACGTTTGTGGCAGCCGTGGTTACTGTGATGGCTGTGGTGGGCCACCCACATGGAGGTGGTTTTGGGCATGCTCCTTGGCACTGGTGGTGTGCCTGGTTGTGTGTGTGTGGGGGATCCAGTCCCCAATCCATGCCCCAGGTCCCTGGGCAGGGCCCTAAGGCATTGGCAGTGTGCCTGGTTGTGTGTGTGTTGGGGGGGGGGTCATTGGTTTTCTTTATAATACAGCATTGGGTTTTTTTTAAAGCTTTTAAAAACATTATTCTGGGAAGGATTCTATGGGCTTTACTAGACTGCCAAGAGACTCATAACACAGAAAAGAGTAAGACCCCTGCCATCTGCCATAGATTTGGAAATTCATGTAAAATTGGCTCACCTTCCCCCTAGTCAATGTCCCCTCCAAAATTCCTGCAAATTCCTTATGGCTTACTGCTGTGGCCCTGGAAACCCCAGTGCCCAGGGGCTTTCTATCTCAGTTGCTCTCTCCCCTGTCCTGCATGTCCAGAAAGGGGATACACGGCCTCCCACTGATTTCCCTTAGACACATTTATAGGTGTCTTTGAGTCAGGGGGAAGAGCAGTGTGGAGGTGGAGTGGGATTAGAAGGTGCAGAGCATGGCAGAAGGTTGTAGACTGAGTATTGGACATCCCAGTTCTTGAAAAGTTCCTGTGGCCCATCTGCCACAGGGAAGGATCCCATGGGTGAGTGACAGTCCCTGCTATGGAATCTTTTTTCACCTCACATAACATTTCTGCTTGAGCTGCAGCCGGCCAGATCTCAGGATTATGGTTCTTCATTTATTCAGACCCATTTAGGTTTCCCCTGCTCTCACCCCGCCATTGCACCTATGCTCAAAAGAGCTTGCTTCCTTTACAAAAACAGTTTTCTCCCAGAGGGGAACTTGCCAGCAGTTGAAAGGAGTAATTCTTTCTCCACTTCTACATTCTTGCGTGGTTCACATGAATTTGAGGGTAAAACAAGAAACTTGAAAGATATTTGAGCTCACTGTGGGTGTGTTGATATTCACTCTCTTTCAGCATCATAATTTTGAAAAACATTGCTTTAGGGCTTTAATGAAGGCAAAGACTGATGGAGGAAGTAAAATGCACTTAAAATCTAAACTCCTCTCCATGCACAACAGTATCTGGCCCCTTTTATGTCTCCAGCCCCTTCCAGCCAGTCTCTTCCTTGGTCAGCCACATCAGCCTTCTTGCAGTTCCTAGAATACTCAGAGCTCTTTCCAGCCACAGGGCCTTTGCACTTACTGTCCCCTTTGCCTGGAATGCTTCTCTGTATGCTCTCCATTTGACTGGCTCCTGCTCTGCCTCCGCGTCAAATGCCATCTCCTCAGCGAGGCTTTTCCTGATTTCTCTTCCTGATGCACTCCCTACTCCTGTTTGTTTTTATCCCAACACCTCCTTTGTCTCCTTCATAGCACTTACCATAACCTAATTATTTTATTTGCTATGTTTTAATGTTTGTTTTCCCACTGGAGTGAGAGCTCCATGAGGATAGGGACCAGGACAGTTTTCTTCATCCATGCATCCCCAGGAGGTAGCACAGTGTCAGGCTTTTGTAGGATCTCAATAAACGTTGAATGAATGAACGATTGAACTGAGTGTAAAGTATGCTTCTCTCAGGAATAGTTCTTTTTCTACAAGGGATTTCTGAAGATGTAAAACTTCCTTATCAAAGGAATGAAGTTATGACAGCAGAAAGATTAGGCATGCAGTGGAAGTGCCCTGGGCCCCTGAGCTAGGATGCGGGGGGGATTGAGGGCCTCAGCCATGCCTGCTGGAAGTCCACATCCAGCCAAACCACAGCCAAGCCACCGCCAGAAGCCCCCCAGGCTCCCCCGTTGGAACGAGGGAGGTGCCATGGGCCTCGACCATGTCCTCCCCCTTCCTCTTCCTCCCATCCCATCCTCCTCTTCCTTATCCTCCCCCTCCCCCAACTGCTCTGCAAAAACATATTAGAATTAAAAAAGAAAAAAATAATAATAAATAAATTTTAAAAATAAGAAAAAGATTAGGCATGGGGTTTATATTTTAGATCAAGGAGACATTCTTGTGTTAGACTTCTTCCAGTTAGTGTCATATGCTCTGCTGTTCCAAGGCTGATGGGGCCTTTTGGAAAAGGTAAAAAACCAAAAACCTGAAGACAAAAGGTTAACTCTTGGGAACACTTTGTAAGGTTTGTTCAACCAGAGGAATCACTTGTGAAGAGGTGGGCTATACAATTAAAAAATATTCACTTTGTTTCCAAAATTCTAGATTTGGGACAGTAGAGAATGATTATACACTTCACAACATATCAGATGTTCAAAGAAGACATAGTCCTTAACACTTGATGACTTTTGAGTTGATTCTCTCTTAAACAAAATTTTATTCTTTAATCCACAGGTAACGGTTCTTACCCACGTGAACACACATGGCTCTGTTACGAAAAAGTAAGATTACAATTTTTGAAAATAGTGATTAAAAAACAGATATTTTGGAGGACTGTTTTAATGCCAAAGCTTGGATTTTTTTTTAAATCTTTGATTTTCATGGATATTTTTCCCACAGGCAGTTTTTGCCATCATTGTTTCAGATGATTCCTGTGGGAAGTTGTTAGTTTTGATCAGAAGTGAGCTAATCATGAGAGAGATCGTATATTTCTATAAAACTTGCAAATACAATTTATTTTCTCATTCTAAATAAGTATTCATGTTCATGTATAATTTAGCATTTGTAATTTTGTATTCTTGTCCTTAAAGAGTCACCTCAAATCTTCAGACCTGTCAAAAGTTGGGATTGCTCCTGATTTTAGATCCAATAGTTTGTGAGTTTGGGGGGAAACATAGTAACCTGATCATGTTACTGTTCCACTCACAGTAGAGTTGCCAGATTTAGCAAATGAAAACACAGGACATCCAGTTAAATTTGAATTTCACATAAACAACAAATAATTTTTTATACGTATGTCCCAAATGTTGCATGAAATATACTTACACTAAAAAAATTTTTTTAACGTCAAGGTCAAGGGTTCGGATCCCGTACTGGCCAGCCACCATAAATAAATAACTAATTTTAGCTGGCAACCATATGTCAGTGGTAAACAGCACAGTTGAAAGGGTCAGATGGTAATAGATGTTGAGCCACCTCCCTAAATTGACTGTGGCAGGTGAACATTGCTTGGACCTATTGATAAACTACAGAACTTTGTCTCTTATCTTCTGTTTCTCTACAGTTTTGTTTTAAACTGAGTCTAGTATCTGGTTGTCTCTGGCTGAATCCGATAACCCAGAAAGTCAGGGGGGACCTGGATGTTAGCAAGGTAGAATCGTTGAGCCTCAGCATGTAGTTTTGGGCATACGTGGGGACTCTTAACTCCTTTCTTTTACAAATAAGAATGTGAAGACCTAGGGGCCAGAAACAAATCAGTACGAGGCCAATAAATTAAGTATCTTGATGCATAAAAATAAATAATAAGTAATATTTATAAAGTCTTTATTGGGCCTGCATTGCTAAACTCTCAAAACAACAATGTGAGATAATGCTTATCATTACAATCCCCACTTAGCAGATGAGCACACCAAGGTTCAGAGAGGTTAAATAACTTGTCCAAGGCTACACAGCTAGGAGGTGGTAGAAATGAGGTTTGAGTTTGACTTCAAATTGCCACCCTTTCCCCTTCTACCAATGTTTTCCAAACTTCAGGAAGGTGTGCATCTCATATGGCAACGTACCATCTGCTCAATTTTTCATCATCTGTGTTCCTTCTGTCCTATGTATTACTTAATAATTTCTTTAAATTGACTAATTTAAAAAATTTATAAGTGGGGCCGGCCCGTGGCTCACTTGGGAGAGTGTGGTGCTGATAACACCAAGGCCACGGGTTTGGATCCCATATAGGGATGGCCGGTTTGCTCACTGGGTGAGCATGGTACTGACAACACCAAGCCAAGGGTTGAGATCCCCTTACCGGTCATCTTTAAAAAAAAAAAAAAAGACTCATTCATCTAAAAAATTTATAAGGGTACTTTATATTAAAAAAAAATTTTTTTTTAATATAAAGTACCCTTATAAATTTTTTAGATGAATGAGTCTTTTTTTTTTTTTTTAAAAATGACCGGTAAGGGGATCTCAACCCCATTTTTTTAATTAAAAAAATAGGGTTGAGATCCCCTTACCGGTCATCTTTAAAAAAAAAAAAAAAAAAGACTCATTCATCTAAAAAATTTATAAGTGTACTTTATATTAAAAAAAAATTTTTTTTGATGGCTGGTCAGTAAAGGGATTGAACCCTGGACCTTGGTGTTAGCATCACACTCTAACATACAAAGCTAACTGGCCAGCCCCCTAGTGTGCTTTATAATAGAAAGTTTTTCTCCTCACTGTAAATGGAAAAAGAATTATCTTCTATCATAAAAAGAAGGTGACTGTAAAAATATATACAAGTAGACTAATGTTATTTAGTTCTGGGTAGCTTTTGTAGCCTGCCTGCACATGAAATCAGAAAGACTGACTTTCTCACACTGTGATTTAATATTACTTAATCCTATGAACGTGAACTTCCTCAATCATCTCATGTGTTTCATACTCAAGAAAACACTGTCCTGTACCACTCTACTTCTCAGCAGATCCCAAGGGCGAGCATCACTGATCTGGAATAGATCGTCCTGGAGGCTTAGACCTGGAAGAGGAATTGGGGTCTTCTAATCTTTTGCCCAGGGCAAGAATTTTCTGCACATCATCCTTGACCAGTGGTTGAATCGAGAAACAACTGCATTATAATGGCTAAGAACATGTACTCATAATTAGTAGTGTCTCATAATAAACATTATATAAATATTATTTGAAACAAAATATTCATACACAGAAAATAGCTCCAAAGGCAGCATCATGTAATGATGAAGGCTGCAGCCTCCACCGTCAGACTGCCTGGGTTTAGCCCTAGATCTTCCTTGTGCTACCTCGGTCTATAGTTGAGCAGCAACAGTGGCCCAGGTTGACTCTTCACTCCATACACTATCTGCTTAAAGAAAAATCCCAGACCACCACTCTGAAGGTATCTGCTCATACTGCTGTTCTAAACTTTTCCACATGATTTCAGGTTGATACTTTAGTGTGTTTCTATTCTTATTTCAGTTAATCAGGTGTTGCTGTTCCTTCTGATTGTGACTCTTTGTGGGATTCTGTATAAGAAAGTTCACAAGGGGACTGTGCTCAAGAATGCAGCAGGTAAGCAGGCATGGAATCCATCAAGATGGGATCTGAATGTGTTTCTCGAGGTCTTTTCAACAGCTGGGATCAGAGACAATTTGGTCAGCTGCCAAGGACCTGCTTGTAGAATATCCACCTAAGGCCAACGTTTCAGTTGTGCTCTAGAATAATCAGTGCTATTCAAACTTTAGCATAAGTAAGATTCACATGGAAGGCTTGTTAAAACACAGTACTGGGCCCCACCCAAGAGGTTTAGAGTCAGTAGGTATGAGGTGAGGCCCGAGAATCTGTGTTTCTGATAAGCTCCCAGTTGATGCTGATGCTGTTGGTTCTTGGATCACACTTTGAGCAAACAACATCCCATCCCTTTGGAGTTTCACAATAATTTTGAGAATTACTGAAGATTGCCTTCTCTCTCCTCTCTCTGCTGATTCATTCACATCAGTGCACAACCAACCTCATAACTCTCAACTTAAAAATGATCCTTCACTGACCCCATGTCCTCCTCCAGCTGCACAGAGAGCCCACTTTCCCTTTTCAGGGGTGAATTGTGTGAGATGGCACCTTTGCAACCCCAAAACACACACAAAGTCAAGCCCCACAAAAATTAAGAAGTGCCATTAGTGTGTTTAATATATTTTTTAATTAATTTACTTCTTATATTGGTCAAGCAAATATACTCATTTCTGGAAAGCACAGAAGAGAAAAATATTACCTGTAGCTGTATCAGACAAACACAAAATTAATATTTTGGTGTGTTACATACATTTATTCCACACATTTTTATTTTTTTTCAAGCCAGACATTGGAGATACAATGGTGAACAAAACAATGTCCCTGCTCACACAAAGCTGACATTTCTTTGTGGCTATTTTTTTTTAATTAAAAAAATGCATTAAAAAAATAATTTAAAACATGTACTCAGATAATCTGGTCTACATGAACGTCGGGAGCATGTGCAAACAGAACAATTTTCTCACAGTGAATGTTCATAGGGCATTATTCATAGTAGCCCCATATTGGAAATAATCCACATGTACATTAACTAGTGAATGGATAAACAGAATATAGTACATCCGGAAGTGGATATAAGCTACAATGTGGATGAACATGAAAAACATTATGCTAAACGAAAGAGGCCAGACCTGAAAGACCACATATCATTCAATTCCATTTATATAAAATTTCTAGAAAAGTCAAATCTGTGGAGACAGCAGATCAGAGCTGGGAGTGGGAGTGGGTTGACTGCACACCGGCTCAAGGGAAGTTTTCAGGGTGATGGGAGTGTTCTAAAGTTAAACTATGGTCATGGTTGTAGAACTCTACTAAAAATTATTGAACTGTACACTTACAATGGGGTTAAAGAAATCTGTACTAGCTTTCTAGGGCTTCCATAACAAAATACCACAGACTAGGTGGCTAAAACAATAGAAATTTATTTTCTCACAATTCTAGAAGTGGAAGTCCAAGATCAAGGTGCCTGTAGGGTTAGTTTCTCCTGAAGCCTCTCTCCTTGTCTTGCTGTGTCCTCACATGGCCTTTTCTCTGTGCATGCTTCCCTTGTGTCTCCTCCTCTTTTTATTAGGATACCAGTCCTATTGGGTTAGTGTCCCACCCTAACAACTTCAATTTAACAGCCTCCTCTTTAAAGGCCCTGTATCCAAATACTGTCACATCCTGAGTTACTGGTGGTTAGGACTTTAACATATGAAGTTTGGGGGGGACACAATTTAGTCTATAACAGTATCTAAATTATACCTCAATAAACTGTTTTAAAAGATAGAGACAGAAAGGAAGTCATACAAGGTCAATGTCATCTCAACTTCTGGCTCTTTACTCCTCATGTTTCCCTGCCTATAAACCAACACATTTGGTCACTAATCCCACTGCAGACTCCTTTTTCCATGGAAAGAGATGGATAAGTTTTATAACAGCTGTTAAAACAACTGCAAGGAAATGCACATCCTGACTGACTAATTAGCTATATAAAAATAAACAAAGTGTTTGCGCCACATGAACGGATCCAATATCACATTTTTAAAAAATCACATTCAGGGCCGGCCTGGTGGCGCACTCCGTAGAGTGTGGCGCTTGGGAGCGCAGCAGCGCTCCCGTCAAGGGTTCGGATCCCATATAGAGACCAGTCTGCTCACTGGTTGAGCGCGGTGCAGGCGCGACACCGAGGGTTGCAATCCTGTTGCCGGTCACGAAAAAAGACAAAAAGGAAAAAGAAAAAAAATCACATTCAGTGTTAAAGTGAAAAAGAATCAATGTTATGAAATACATTTCAAAGGAGTGGAGTGTTGACATGAAAAGACATCTGTGGTTTAAGTTGGAAAAGCAAGGTTCAGAAGAGCATGAAAAGTATCCATTTCAGTTTTAAAATAATATTGTGTGTGTTATATATCCTTTAGTATTTATATGAAGGAGGGTTTGGGGGACACACACTACACTGATAACAGAGATTACCTTTGGAAGTGCAGACGTCTGCAGAAAACAGTCACAATTTGCCAGATACTCTTCTGTTTGGGCTGGAATTTTTTCAAGAAGTACATATTAATCTTTATAATTTTAAAAGAATTAATGCAAAGAACACATGTTATCAGTTAATGTCCAGAGGCCCTGTGAAGTCGTATAGTGAAGGAAAGAATGGTGCCATTCTGTGTAATCTCCTGGTAATGACATTCCAGGGAATTTCCTGGTAAGTTCCTTGTTAATATCCTGCTGGTGATTCAGTCCTGTGCCATTTGGTGCAAGGCAAGTTAATATATTTGGCTAAAACAATCCTTATTTGAAAGAGCATTCTGAGTTTTGGCATTGGGATAGCAGACATTTTACCTCTTCTAGGAATAGGCACGGTTTGGTAAGAGCTGCTTGTGGGAATGGACTAAGTCACTATTATTTCCAATCCGTTCTGCCATCATTATGATGTTTTCTAGTTTTGTTAGACACCAGATGGCTTCCCATAGCCAAACCTTTTAATGGGATGGCTCAGGCACCAGTTGGTATAACTTCCAGGGGAAACTTCTTGGCAGAAAGTGGTATTTTTGGGGCCGGCCCGGTGGCGCACTGGATAGTGCGCCGCTTGGGAAGCGCGGCGGCGCTCCCGCCCGAGGGTTCGGATCACACGCACCCAAAAAAAGCTAGTAGGGAAACTTGCCAGAATTTGAACCCAGATCTGCCAAAACTCCAAAGTCAGACCATAATTGTGTCTCCCAGTGTGTAAATATCTATCAAATACTTTGTGCACATGTGTGAACATGCCAAACTTTGAATGATTTAAGTATAACCTGTATGCTTCTCTGACTGGCAGTGGCTCTGAAGATGTGTGGCAGTGTCATGCGTCTGCACCAGAGCTGTATACTTGTTGGCCTTCTCCTGGGGTGCCCCCTATTTCACGGGGTACCTTCCTCCTACCTCATGCTACCTGCTGGCTGCCGAAGGCCTCTACTGAGCCTGGGTGCCAGGCACTGCCCAGCTTTTCAACCCCTCCTTCTCTTTGCCCCTGGGAATAGCCCATGATCCAACCCTCCAAGGCCTGGTTCTCTAATCCATCAGTACAGTTTAGTTCATTTTAGCAAACTTTCATTAAGTGCTTCTAAGGTGCCAGACACAGTGGGGATAATATAATGAGCTTACAGTCTAGTGGAGGGGACAGACACATAAATGGATTCTTCCAGAGCAGTGTGGTAAGTGCTTACATAGAGGTATCTAATAAACTCATCTATCTGTCCAAAATGTACTGAGACTCTAACATGTGCCAGGCACTGGGATAGTTGCAGAGGATACAGAGATGAACAAGATACTATCTTTGCCCTCACAGAGCTCCTAGTGTAATAAGAGAGAAAGGAAAGACATGCTATCAAATAAGTTGCAACGCAGGTGATAAATCCAACCACAAGCGAGGATACAGATATAGACGAGGGATGGCAATCTGTGTTGGGAGCTGTTAACGGCTTCCCAGAGGATCTGATGTCTGTACTGCATTTGGAATAAATATGTAAAAGCCATGCAAGAAAGGATGGAAAAAGCATTCTGGGCATCAGGAACAGCATGTGCAAAGGCACTGAGATATGGGACAACACGGGCCTGAGTGATAGAGGTTTTGCAAAAATGTATCTGTAAAAAGTGAGAAAGTGCTGTAAGTAAAAAATCCGATGGGCATTACATAGTGGATACTCTACATACTGATAGTTTTTTCTTTCTCTTTTTTTGCTTGAATCTTTTTTTTCAAGAAATACACACTGATAATTGTTATTCTTCACACCTGGAAGTTGTATTGTGGTACCAAAGTATGATATTATGGCATTGATATTTTATAACTTTCCAATGCTCAAAAGAATAATCAATTATTCATCTTGTTTATTAGTCATGCTTTTTCATACTTCCTTTCTCTTGCTGTCCAGCATTTGAAAAACTTAACTAGATAGAAGAGGATAGGGGAAGGAAAATCACAAGCAGTATATTTTACAGCAGTGTAGGCAAGGTAAATATTCTAATTCAGGGAAGAGTTGAGGACTGTTGAATCAAGTAAGGCTTTTCAGTTCTTCATACGTTTTTCAGCCATATGTGTGTGTTAGGCTATCTGATTGGCTTCTGTAAGAAAGCTCCAAAATAATAGTGACTTAAACAAAATAGAAGTTTATTTTCTCTCTCAAGTGAAGGTCTGAGGCATCAGTTCCACAGTCATCCAGATGAAGTTTCCTTCTATCTAATGTTTTGGTGTCCTCATTAGGTAGCTTCCATCTTGTGGGCCAGGATGGCTGCTCTAACTCCTATCCTCATAGCAACATTCCAGCCCTTGGGAAGGGGCACAGGTGAAGGGGAGGGTAAGCACTCCTTTGAAGGGCAGACGCAGTAGTTGTACACATAACTTGCTCATTGGTCAGAACTTGATCACCTAGATCTGCAAGGGAGTCTGGGATAAAAATAGTCCTAGTGGGTGGCTGTGTGCCAGCTAAAATTCCTAAATTCTTTTCTAAGGGAAGAAGGAGAAACCGGATATTTGAGAACAATCAGCAGTTTCTTCCACACTATCCTATCTTCCCCCAGGAGTGTGGAAGACGAATTAAACTGGTTCTACTGTGAAATTCCTTCATGTTCCAAGCCACTGATTTTGATGTTTCCAGATGATGACTCCGAGACTCCTGAAGAAATGGAAGAGGAGATTCCTGTGGTGATCTGTGCAGCGGCAGGGAGGATGGGAGCTGCTATGGCTGCCATCAACAGCATCTACAGCAACACGGACGCCAACATTTTGTTCTATGTAGTCGGACTCCGGAATACTCTGTCTCGAATACGGTAATTTGTGTACTGCAGGCTTTGGGGATTTCTACTTTCTTTAATCTTCCTTATCTTTCTTTAAATGGATTCCCTTCCTTTTCAGATTGATAACTGTCATTAGAATCAATGAGGGGATACCCCGACCTGACACGTGTTGCCTAGCTAAGGAAATTTCAACAAAGCCTCATTGATCTGGTAGGGCGGTGCATCATTACGCAGAAGTGAATTATCTAATGAACTAAAGAACCCCCAACCTTAAGAAGGTTATATAAAAAGTCTTTCTTTCTGGGGCCGGCCCGGTGGTGCACTGCTACAGTGCGCCACTTGGGAAGTGCGGCAGCGCTCCCGCTGACGGTTCGGATCCCACATACAGACCAGCCGCTCACTGGCTGAGCGAGTTGCGGCAGCAACACCGAGGGTTGCGATCCATTGCCGGTCACGAAAAAAGACAAAAAGGAAAAAAAAAAGCCTTTCTTTCTAAAATTGTTTCTCTTTTCTCTGCTTTCTTTTTTTTTTTTTTTGGCAGCTGTCCAATACAGGCCTCTGAACCCTTGACCTTGTTGTTACAATACCGCACTCCCACCAACTCAGATAACTGGCCAGCCTCTTTTCTCTGCCTTCTTAACATGAGAGAATATTAACATAACCATTTTAATATGGCTCAGAATCATCACTAATTATAATTTTTGAACTGCAAACATATAATTTATATATTATAATTTGTGAACTGATTTTTTTCCTATCATATACCACACTAAAAAGTAAACTGGAGGGACCGGCCCGTGGCTCACTTGGGAGAGTGCGGTGCTGATAACACCAAGGCCACGGGTTTGGATCCCATATAGGGATGGCCGGTTTGCTCACTGGGTGAGCGTGGTCCTGACAACACCAAGTCAAGGGTTAAGATCCCTTTGCCGGTTATCTTTAAAAAAAAAAAAGTAAACTGGAGTTAGATTAAGGGAAAATAAAGTCAAAATTTAAATTATAAAAATATGGGACAATTGGGCCGGCCTGGTGGTGCACTCGGTAGAGTGCGGTGCTTTGGAGTGTGGTGGCGTTCCCGCCGAGGGTTCGGATCCCATATAGAGACCGGTCCACTCACTGGTTGAGCGCAGTGTGGGCGCGACACTGAGGGTTGCGATCCCGTTGCTGGTCGCGGTACGGGCGCGACACTGAGGGTTGCGATCCCGTTACCGGTCACAAAAAAAGACAAAAAAGGAGGAAAAAAAAAATATGGGACAATTGTATAATCTTGGTATGAAAAGTGCCTCCCTGAGCCCCCAAGTCATAAGGAAAAACTGACAGATTTGGCTGCATAACATTTAAAAACTTTCGAATAATGAAAAACACAATAAGTAAAATTAGTCACGTAATAGATTAGGAGAAAATATTACCAACATGTATTATAGACAAAAGATTACTATCCAAAATAAAGAATTGTAACAAAAATAATTTTAAATACAAGCATCTAGTAGAAAAATGAGCATAGGATATGAATAGACAATTCACAGAAGAAAAAAATACAAATGGTCAACAAACATGAAAAGATGTTCTATGTTACTAATAGGAAATACTAATTAAAACATATTTCCTTAGAGTGCACTGTTATAACACCAAGGTCATGGGTTCAGATTTCCATACCAATTAGCCTTCAAAAAAAAACCACAAAAAACAAACAAAAATTCCCATTGTTTAAAAATGTGAACTAAAACATTTCACGAGTGACATATAATATTTCACACATCACATTGGCAAAAATTAAATAGCCCAACACTATTCAGTGCAGGAAAATGGACATGCTTATTCATTGTTTATACAATGTACACTGCATAAATTGGTAAAGCATTTTTGAGAGGGTAATGTGGCAATATCTAAACTGTTATATGTGTATATAATTTGACTCACCAGACTTATTTCCATTGCTAGGAATTTGCTACAAAAATTCTAGTACACATTACCAAAATATATGCACAACATAAATTTCAGCATTATCTGAACTAGTAAAAAAACTGCAATGTGCTTAAATGTCCCTCAATGGAAAAATATTTAAATGAACTATGGAATATGATCCAGCTATTAAAAAAGAAAGGAGACAATCTGTATATACTGACACAGACGACCCCCAAGGCATATTGTTAAGTGGAAGAAGCAAGCTGCAATACAACTCATACAGTATGATCCACTTTATAAAAATTAAAACGCCCTAACTGTAAATGTGTATGTGTACATATGTGTGATTACATAAAGAAATAGAACGGGGAAGATATCAAACTGTTAACACTGACTATCTCTGGGCAGGATGGAGGAATTGGGGAGGGCACTGATGAAGGGAAGTTCAAGGTATTTTAGTGTTATTTCATCATTCATAAGAAGAATGTACTTATGTGCTGCTTTTATAATGAAATTTTTTTGGAATGGCACCATCAGGAGGTACTGGGATCTGTAAGATATTTGCTCCTAATCTAAATGGCCCTTGGCTGCTGTGATTTTTGAGGGCTTATATACGCTTTCTAGGTTTTCTATCTCATTTCTCACTTTTCTTATCATTTATTGTTGCTGACTGTTCGCTTAGCTTGCCATTAACAACCCTTTAATTATGCATGGGTATGAAAACCAGACAGCCAAAGGCAAAAGGCAGGCATGTGCAGTATGTTCTGAGTCAGGACTTGTACTTAACAAAGGGCATGAGCTTCATGACTTCATGACATTTGGAGGGGGCTGTTTCTCAGTTCTTAGCTGTCTAGTCTACTCTCCACCCCACTCCACCCCCCATTTAAATATTTTTAAAACTCTTCTCATTGAAGTAGAACACAAAAACAAAATTGTAGAAATCCAACATACAGCTTAGTGAATCACCACAAAACAGACGCATGAACCACCACCACATCCTTACCACCACTTGGTATAATCAGTCTTTTTAATTTTGCCATTCTGATGGATGTCCAGTGGTATCTCACTGTGGTATTTGTTTGAGGTTTCCTCATTTCTAATGTAGTTGAGCACTTTTCCCACACATTTCGTGGCTGTTTGGAAATGTGTGTTCGAGTCTCTTGCCCATTTTCCTGTTGGGTTACCCGTCTTTTTCTCACTGACATAACCGATTTTTATGAGTCAAATCTTGCAGATCTAAATAGTGTTCAAATTTAATTATTTTGTTGATTTTTAATCAACCACAAAAGCTACTATATGTGGCTTTAGTCACTGGAAATTTTATTTTAAGATTATTTATACCAAGAATCTCAGTACGAATTAGAAGATAGAAGTTCTGAAAGTCTGAGAAAATGGAAGGAGAGAGGGCAGGGGAAAGAGGAGGAGAGATGGGAAATGAGGACAGATGGGGAAGATTGAGAGATGGAGTCAAAGAGACAAAGATAAATTAAAATCATCCCTGGAGTCAAAACCACAGAGTAAAAATGACTTAGAAGTTGAAGGTTCAGAGTGTCCTGCTTCATAACCTTTCAGAGCTGTTAGCACGTGGCAAAGATAGTACCAGCAACCACAGATATTACTTTATAAGAAAACAAAACAAAACAAAACACTTTTTGTTCTTCCAGTTTCCTGGGGAGATTATTTGGATCTGGGGAGATATTTGGTTATTACTATTTTGCTTCATTTCCTTTGCAGAAAGAGTTATGGGGGTGGGGGGGGGGGAGAGAGAGAGAGAGAAGGAAAGATTTGAAGAGAGAGAGAGAGAGAGAGAGAGAGAGAGAGAGAGAGAGAGAGAAATACAGAAAATTAAAAACATGACCCATAGAGTTGGTAATAATTTTATGTGACCTTTTTGACTCGGGAAGAGAGCAGGGACATGTACCTCTGATAGCAAAGCGTCTCTCCCCTCCCCCCCAGGTCAGATCCAAATGAATGTTATCAATTAGGGTTTATTCCTTCAATAAACACTTATTGGACCACGCCTATGTGCTAAGACAAGATTTATAGACTCTAGTACGTTTACACACATTTTATTTTTAACTTGCTAAGAAGAAAACAGATTGACCCTGAGGCAACAGGCAAATTGAGGAAAAATTTGAAGTGTGTGCTAGAGGTTTTTTTTCATCTCTTTAGAAAATGGATTGAACATTCCAAACTGAGAGAGATAAACTTCAAAATCGTGGAATTCAACCCTATGGTTCTCAAAGGGAAGATCAGACCAGACTCATCGAGGCCTGAACTGCTCCAGCCTGTGAGTAGGAGTCATGTGCATGCTGGGGACAGTCCTTGGTGACACCCTTGCTCAATATGGAGCACTAGCCCCTGGGATGCACTGTTAGATCTCTACCAAACTCTGCTTATTTATAATTTATAAACCACCTGCTTCAGAAAGGATTTTAAATGGTTTACTTAAGATAAAGAAGCTTTTGGGGAAGAAATGAAGCATATAAAATGTAGGACGAATTTATGTGTGTGGGGTGGGAGCTGGGGGTGGGCCGGGTAGTGAGGCCAGGACAAAATATGCCAAATCCATAGGCTGTTGTATGTACTGTGACTGTACATGAAATTTAGCTCTCAGTATCCTAGTAGCTAAGGAAAAACAGTAGCAGGATGGATTATACACTTCATAGTATTGACTAAGAAAATATTTTCAGGAGACAGCAACTTTTTTCCTAGCATTGGAAATCTTAAGGTATTTCAATAGTTCTCACAAAAGGGACCCTCTCCTGCACAGAGTGATGTTTTTGATGACAGTTTTGTAAAAAACTGCAGCCACCTTCTACATATAATTGTTACTTAAATCCACTCTTGAAAATTTACTAGATTCTAAAGTCCTCTGTTAATGATCTTTCCCCAATTCCAGATATTTATTATCAGTGTGAGCTGAGTTGGGACTTTGGATGAAACAGTGTTGTCACTAAGGAAACTTTAAAACTCCCACTCACAGCTCATGCTTCTCTGACCTTTTTCTGGTTCAAGGTTGAGCATGTTTTGGGGATGACATGTGTGCATGTGCATTTGTATGTGTGTGTGTATGTCTTTAAGGCTGATTTAGTTGGCAGTTATCAAAATTACCGAGTGTATAGGAAGGCAGGCAATTTGTGCCCAAAAAGATTGACTAGGGAGGCTCTGTGCTCCCACGGCAGCAGTTCACAGAGATGAAAGTGGCAACAGCCTCAGCAGTAGTGGGGTAGGATCTAGAATCGCTGATCTGCCAGTGCTGGTTTTAGACCCGGGACCCAGATAGGTCGAGTACCAGTGCTTGGGTGAGGCATCTTTGTAGTTTTATTCTGTTCCAAACCTGGAGCTGAGCTGAGGCCCTGGTCAAAGCCGACTCTCCAGTACCCCTAAAAGACTGAACTGTGTGCCGCTTCCCCACCATCATTTCTTTTGTCGTTTCAACAGCTGAACTTTGTTCGATTTTATCTCCCTTTGCTTATCCACCAACACGAGAAAGTCATCTATTTGGACGATGATGTCATTGTACAAGGTACACTCGCTGGCTGCCAAGAACACTTGTAAAAGGAGCAGCTGATAAGTAGAATGATTCTCTCTTCATTTTCCGAATAGCTAGTTGCCCGGTAATTCTGACTGCTTGTCAAAGTTGTGGGTACAGTATTGTTGTGAATTTGGGAATACTTTTAAATCAGAAGTTGATATTTCCCTGAACAATCCAGTTGACTCTCTGAGGGCCACTCTCTGACTGTCAAAGTCTGCAACAAATTTCCTGTCTCTGAATCCCTAAAATGTAAGAAATAGTGTCACTGATGACATTCTTAGGAGTGAGCTAAGTTTCATTGTTTAAATGTTGTGTTCTCTTTCTTCCACCTGCAAATAGGCTAAGCATTGGTGTGGTACCTACGCAGCAACAGAAATAAAGAAATTTGACCAATGCTGATCTGAACTTATCATCAAGTGGCTTTCTAAATTAGCACAGGCTATTCTTAAATTGCCAAACCACTCAAAATCAGGGATTTATACTCTTCTCTCATGACAAGGTCAGGAAATGTTTAAGCTCTAAGGCTCTATCTAGCTCTAAATCAAATGCTATTTTTTAACTGCTGGTGTTTCTAAATTCAGGTGATATCCAAGAACTGTATGACACGACCCTGGCCCTGGGCCACGCAGCAGCTTTCTCAGATGACTGCGATTTGCCCTCTGCTCAGGACATGAACAGACTTGTGGGGCTGCAGGTGGGCATGCTGTCTCAGAAACCCTACCTTCTCCTGCTGCTCTGGCCCCTTCTCCTCCCCGGCAACTCGAAATGAATGTAATCTACACCTTGAAAACCCTAACAGCCCGTCTGGACTGCTGAAAGGCAGAACAGCACAGGGTCTGGGATTTATTCATATCCCAGCTCCATTCTTTACCAACTCTGGGGCGAGTCACTTTAACCCTGCGAAGTCTCGCTTTCCTTATCTGAAACAAGGCATCCATGTTTGTTTTATTGTGTTTATGTGAGCTGTAATGAAATAACGTGATGTCAAAGTGCCCAGCATGTAGTTAATGCTTCGGAAACAACAGTTGTTGTCTCGGTCGCGCATAACCATACTCTACGTCAGAGATGGCATAAGAGTTTTCTGTGAGAAACTCGCTGAACCTTCGCTTCTATTTTCAGAAATTTGACCATTGCTTTTTCTAAAATTTCAGGAATGGAAAATATTGATTTTGTTTAAGGGTAAAGATCTTACCCTAGTGGAAATGGGAAATTTAAATCTGTACATAATGCTGGAACCACAGTAATAGCTTCGAAATACAAGGTGGTATTAAGAGTTGAATGCTGTTCTTCAAAAAAAGTTCTAGCAAATAATTTTATGTGGGTGACATTTAAGGCGCTTTAAAGCCAGACCCAATTTTGTCAAAATCTTAGTAGTTTTATGACCTTGGGCAAGTTACTTAGTCAATTGTTTTCTCCCCATTTGCCCAATAGAGGTAATAATAGTACTTCACCGTAGAGTTACTGTGAGAATTCAATTAGTTAATACGTGGAAAATTATTACATGCAATTAATGAAGTAATGCGTGTGAAGTTCTTAGAGCAGTGCCTGGCACACAGAAAGTGCTCAAGTATTCCCATTATGCCTGTGTCGTATTTGACAGCATCACACTGAGGTGGATTATGACAGTCTGTGTGGGGGAAAGAATAAGTCCTGCCTCACACTGCATTCATTCAGTGACTTACTGAGTGCTTCCTATGTGCCTGAGACTGTTTTAGGTACTGATAATACATAAGCAAAACTAAAGTTCCTGCCTTTGTGTAGCTTACATTCTTGGGAAGAGACAGACAAGTAAAATATTTAACAGAGGATCAGGGTTGTATTTTAAATAGGATGGTCAGGGAAGCCTCCACTGAGATGGTGGTGTTTGAGTCTACACTTGAAAGAACAGAGGGAACCACTTATACAGATATTTAGGAGGGAAAACATTCCAAGAAAAGGCAATAGCAAATGCAAAGGTCCTGAGGCAGAGGTGTGTCTGGTATATTAAAGGTGGTCAGTGTGGCAGAGGGATCAAGTGTGAAAATAATAGGAGTTGGAGAGGTAGTGGGGGGCCAGCTGGTATAGGGCATGGCAGCCCATTTTGGAACTCTAAGTTTTACTCTGAATGAGAGGGGAAGCCATTGGAGGGGCTTTGAGGAGATGAGTGACATAGAGACAGAATGGGGCTAATAGGATGGAAGTAGGGACACTGGTTAGGAGGAACTTGCAGAGATCCAATGAGTGGTAATTAAGGTCTGGAAAAGGAAGATAGCAGTAGAGGCAGGAGAAGTGGTTGGCCTTAGTAAGCATTCAAAAGGAGACATTGATTTGGCAGATGGAGCTGGAAGTTCTGAGGAGAGGTCAGATGGATGGTGTTTACAGTCATGAGACTGAGTGGGGCTATGTATGGAGTTAGCGTTAGAGAAAGGAAGAGGTGCTGGGACTGGAGGACTGGGGGCACTCAGCATTTAGAGACTGGAGAAATGAGGGGAAACCAGCAAAGGAAACTAGGAAGTGGCCAGTGTCACAGGAGGAAACCCAGAGATGCTGCACAATGGCTTCAAGAAAATGATCATTTTCCAGAAACAAAAGATCCATTAGTCAAAAGCATGCATGTCCTGTTTCTTTACAGAATACATACATGGGCTATCTGGACTACCGGAAGAAGACTATAAAAGACCTTGGCATCAGCCCCAGCACCTGCTCTTTCAATCCTGGTGTGATTGTTGCCAACATAACGGAATGGAAACATCAGCACATCACCAAACAATTGGAGAAATGGATGCAAAAAAATGTGGAGTATGTGTTGACCTCTCTACCATTTCTTCCATACTTGGAAACAAAATTATTCAATTAATTTTCTATGCACAGTTCAGTGGTTAGAAATAGTTCACAGACATCTTAGGTCAAATTTTCTTACAGAGGCACTTAAGAAAAGAGGGCAGCAGATGAAAATCTTTCTTCAAATGATATAAATCAGAGGAATTGAGATCCTGTGGAATAAGGAACTTGTCATATATTTTCCTAATAAGCTGTTTAATAATATAACTTGAACCTTTTCCACTGAAAATCTTCATTTATCTTAGTTGGGTTTCTCCTTCTTACATAGATTTGTTTTTCAGGATTATTTTATAAAGTCAACTTTGATTTTTAAGATTGGTTTTTAAGAATTCATAACTTTTAATTATGGAAGTCTTAAAATAGAGAAAATAAAAACAATTGTAACACCAACCATTATTATCATGTCATTGTATTTCCCATCAGTCTTTTTAATCTGGATATTTTAATACCATCATAATCTTGAATTTGTGAGTAGTTATTCTAAATAATGTAGAATCAGAATTCGATCTTCTGTGTCTACCATAAAAAGTCTGAGAGTTAAAATGGCAAAATATTAACACTGTGCATCTAGATATATAGGAGTTTATGGTATTTTCATAATTTTGTGTAGGTTTGACAATTTCCAAAAACTAAAAGGTAAAAAATAAGAGGCCACAATTCTTATTTGTATAGTGAGAAGGACTTAGATCTTTTTAAAGTATTAGATTCTATTTTATTTGTATTTGTGGGGGCTCCAGGCCAAATATTGCTTTTCTGTTGTATTGCTTAGGGAAAACCTCTACAGCAGCTCCTTGGGAGGAGGGGTGGCCACCTCCCCAATGCTGATTGTGTTCCATGGGAAATACACCACAATCAACCCCCTGTGGCACATAAGGCACCTGGGTAAGTATTTTCTAAAAACAATGCAAATGTACACTTTATAGACCCAGTGAGCACCATGGTGAGGAGAGTGTGTTCCTCAGGTTCCTCAACTCAAATCTTCTAGGTGACCGTGGACAAGTTACTTAACCCTCAGTGCTCAGATTTGCAAATGCAGCAGGTATTCTTAGATACCTGAGGGGTGTGTTTGCAGGAATTCAAGAAAAGCTATTAGACTAATACTTAGTATATGTGCTCATAAACATTAACTATTGTAAAGACAGAACTTTCACTGTCAAAACTATTTCACATGATTTACTGCCCTCTTGCAGTAGTCTACAGGGGACAAAACCAAATGAAGTAGCATAATGGCTTATGATGAACTTAAAAAGCTGTAAACAAAGCAAAGTCAGTAAACAAAGCAACTGTTTACTGACTGTGTACTATGAGTCCCTTGACAGTGTTTTATTCACTACACGAGTGCAAGCTCTAGGGTATGAATTGGAATCCCAACTTCACACAATCTTGGGCAAGTATATTATTGAATATAACAATTATTCTGATGTGAGCATCACATGTTGCACACAAGTATTGATGTTCAACACTGTACCCCACAGATATGTACTATCAACTTTGTTACAATTAAAAAAATAAAAAGGCAAGGTATAAATAAATAAATGAAATAAAATAAAAAACAAAAAAAGGCAAGATATAGTAGCAGGTATGCTCTATTTCATCTTACTAACTTTCTTTCAAAAAACATGTAACATACAGGTATAGGTAGAACATTACTAGGATTCATGAGAGACTCTACCGATGGTTGCTATAGAGATTTGGAGTGGGTGGAAAATTCTTAATTAACCCTTTGATTTGCTTAATTTTTTTTTTTACTATGAACTTGCATTCAATTTTTAATATAAAAATTTTATTCTCTAACAAGCTTATTATTTTCCTCTAAACACAATGAAGGCTGGAGTCCACATGCCAGATATTCGGAGCATTTTCTGCAGGAAGCCAAATTACTCCACTGGAATGGAAGACATAAACCTTGGGACTTCCCCAGTGTTCACAACGACTTATGGGAAAGCTGGTTTGTTCCTGACCCTGCAGGGATCTTTAAACTCAATCACAATAGCTGATATAACTCATCATTTAAAATAGTCCCTGTATAAAATGTGGAATTGTCCCTTTGTAGCCTACTATTAACACTGTTCTTTATTAACAGTACCTTTGATACATGTATGATCCTCAATATAAAAAACAAAAACTACTGTGTGCAAATTGTACCTTGGACCATACAGGTATTGATTTACTTCTTTAAGTACAAGTGGTAATTATGAAAATCAAGATTATGTGTGTGAAATGTGTTGTTGGAAAGAAATAAACACAGCTAGATATCAGCAATCAATTTGCTTAACACTGAATGACAATTATATCCACAATGTTTTTAAATTTCTAAATGTGTTTTCACATGCAGGCATTTTTTTAACAAGTTGCCAATCTTGTCTTTTACAAAACTATTACACATTTAAAACATGAATGTCTGAAAAAATAAAATATTCATAGACTTTTATGATTTTCCATCATGTATATTATTCTACGTGTTAAATATAATAGAAGGTAAACTGATATCAACTTTAAAGGGGGAATAAGCCAGGCACAGAAAGAGAAATACGAGTTCTTACTCTTATGTAGGGGCTAAAAAAAAAAAAAAAAATGAAGGAAAGAAAGAAACAACAATCACAATAATTCGTTGAACTTCCAAAAGGGAGGAACAGAACTGAGGCCACCAGAAGTGGGAAAGGGGGAGGGGGAGTTAGTGAGAACTTGGTAAAGGGCCACAAAAAACAATTACCTTGTGTAGTGTTGAATATACTAATTATCCTGATTTGAGCACCAATATTGCACACAGGTATGGATATTTGACACTGTACCCCACAGATATGTACAATCGATTACATGTCAATAATTTAAAAAAAAAAAAAAAAGTTTAAAGGAGGAAAGACTACCATTAAGTCTTGCTACAAAAAAAGCCTGTCACTTAAGGATAATCATTCTTAATATTTTTTATTGTAAAAACCATCAGACTTTCAAATGCATTTAAAAATCTTTCAATATTATTCATTGAAAAAGTCTCATCTGTCATGTACAGGGTCTATCAACATTTACTACTCATCTGTCATGTTTAATGAAAAACACCATTATTGTATGCTTGGAAAATCTCAAACCCATTCTTTACTGAGTGTCTGTCATAATTTAAAGGGTGTTTTCCCCACTCAAATAAAAATTCTACTGTAAACATACAATAATTATATACCAAAGCAATACCTAGTTAAATGCTTTACATAGTCCCATGAAAAAATAATTAAATTGCTCCTAATCCCTGATGCAAGGCACTTCAAAGCACCCGCACAAAACATCCATGTAAACAGCAGTACAGTACATCATTTAAATAACATGAATGACTTTTACACAGCTTGACCTAGACTTAAGGAAAATAAAATCCATCATTCCCACAGCTAAAAAGCACGTTTAGATTCAGAACAAGAATTTGTTTCTCTTAATATAAAAAGAACAGGATATAACCTCCTGAGGAAGAAAAAACCTCATAAATATTTCATATTGAAAAAACAGCATGCTCCCTGGGTATGTATGAAATCAGAATATTGAGGGGTGATCAAGAGTGAATGCAAATGGCATTTCTGAATACCTAACTTTAATATCTTCCAGACCTAGAAGTCTGGACTTCTTGTAGCACCATGGAAAACGCATTAGAAAATCACAAAGGTACATACTTCAAACCAACCTTTCTATGAGGTTCACTGAGTCCACAGTAACAAACAGCAACAATCCAGAGAAAGAATATTTAAAATTATTGGCTTATTAGTTTTACCTAGCAAGAAAAATTCTGTATTATTTATTTAAGCACATCTCATTTACATAAAGCACCAGTTTAAATAAGATTATCAAACACCTCCAGCATTTTGTTGCTCAGCCTTTTGAAAGTCCATTTCTTATCACTTTACACGTCACATCCTTAAAGTCAAGGAGGATAAAATCAGAATGGTAATAAATATTGACAGAGAAATTCTGTTCCTTCCCTGTCAAATTTATATTTCTCAAGTAAAACATATATGAGTAACAAAATGTAAAAGGTCTACTGCATTATCTGGAACCTATCATCCCAGCAGAACAGTTTCTGCCTACTAGAGGGTTAACACACAGGGGCAAAGCGGCCAAAGCCAGGGCTCAATGCCCTGTCAGATAAGGCCTGCTTGCTACTGCAAGGCCATACTCTACATGTTTACTACTAAGCACCTCTCACAAACACGCGTCACTGGTAAAGCAAAGAGGTCTGTGTGACTATGATTCAGGGAGCCCATTTAACACCACTAAAAACTAACAATGAGACTCCGTTGAGGGTTAACTTCATATATGAAAATCAACACATTTGCCTCTTTACCAGTGGTAATTCTTATTTGCATGCCTTTCTTAGGCATAAAAGGGATAATGGTATATCTAGGTTTATGCACAGTTAAGAATCAACTATAAACATTCAGACTGTTGTATTTTAAAATTACATATAAAAAGTGACTCCCAAAAGAAAAATTAATTTTTCATAAACGAAATATAGTATATAAAAAGCTGGAATGATGGTTAATTCAGATACAAAAACCCCTACTTATTCCTTCCAAACCACTTGGGGTCATACAGTTGATTCTACCACACACTTATATTATATAATTGTATTATAATTACACCAACAGGGTAAAATACTAATAAAATACTTCAGTTAGCAAACTGAGGTTCTACTTCTTGACAACTGCATTAAAACTGCAGCATTTAAGCAGAGCTGAGAAACACCATTCTTAAGCATGGTTTCCTTCTTCCTGTTCTTGCATTCCACAATGATTATTAAAGGAAGCAATCTGGTCTGTAAATGACGGGGTCATCCACTGCCCATTTGGAATGTCACTGAAAGTTGATTCTCCTCTTAACTCCGCACCATCGGCTGCTAGGAGGGGACAAGAATGCTAGTTTATTCTATTTAGAAGTTTTAAATGATCAAATTAGTAGTTTTTAAGAGTCAGTGAAGGAAAACTATTATTAAAGTTGTTAAGCAAGCTTCTTGAATATAATTATAAGTTTCTGTCTTATTTTCAGATGTACTACTGATAAATCCTCATTTGTTATTAAAGGAGGAAAATGCAACTAAGGATGGCTTAGAGTCTATGACTTAAAAGAAAATGAGCTGTAAACACCTGTGTGGTTAAACATCAAATAACCATCAAATTTCACTATTAGTTACTAAATAAATTTTTAAATTACCATTCCCATTCTTCAATAATTAATTCTCTTTCTAGTAAACTTTTTCCCCTGATCCTGACCCAACTAAGTCTTTGAAAAGGACACACAAATGGAGGAGAACATACTTGGCCCATTAGAAGAGAAGCTGCAAGGTTCACTATTGCACGTATTTTCAAGATAAGCACCACCATATGCTGCTTCATAACCTGGATCATATTTTTCTTCCTTAACAGCCATCTTCTTTGCATCCTCTGTCAGGAAAGTAAAAAAGATTTAAAACTGATTCTGTACAACAATTTTGAAAATAGCTTTATTCAGAAATCATGAATAATTCTTTTTTTCATATTAATATATACTGAGATACACCTTTTGCTATAATCTTTTAAGTTCTTTGTAGCATATACTAAATTAACTCATAAGAATTGGGAAAACCTATTATATTTAATTTTAGGCAGGGTACAATGTTTCTTTTTTTTTTTTTTCTTAAAAGATGACCGGTAAGGGGATCTTAACCCTTGACTTGGTGTTGTCAGCAGCACGCTCACCCAGTGAGCAACCGGCCATCCCTATATGGGATCCGAACCTGTGGCCTTGGTGTTATCAGCACCACACTCTCCCAAGTGAGCCACGGGCCAGCCCCACAATGTTTCTTAGATCCTCAATGTTTGCAGTAATGCCCAGAGTAGATAGAAGACCTTGGCAAAAAGAGATTTTAACAATGACTAATATCCATTATCAGAGCACTATCACTGCAAATATAATTTTCTTCTCTCCTGTTTTTAAAGCCACAATATACTTCCTGTAATGTAACACAAAATGAATAAAAGTTGTGATGACAGTGACATACCTTGGGCAAGCTGTAGGTCAAATGTATATTGCACCTCTTGAACATCTGTGTTTCGTTCGATGCCTTTCAACTGATCTCTTAAGTCCTTCAGCTTAATGTAGTAATGAACTTTGTCCTGGGCTCGAGGAAACTGAGCACATCTTGCACTGGATGATGGCATAACATAGCAGAGCTAGAATCGTAAAATTGTACAGTTTCAGAAATCTTACAATTCTATTGAATCCACTCATACTGACATTAGAAAATTTATCTTTATTTGGGTTAATAACTTGATATTTTACCACATACAAATATATGTAAAATCAATAAAATAGTTGTGTTTAAGTTCAAATCTATAATATTTACTTATTACAAAGTTAATAATTAAAATACAATGAGGCCTACTCTCCCCAGTGTTCATCTATCAACTAACAACTTTTCTTTTTAATAGCAAATATATGGTTTGCAATTCAAAAAGGATGAAAGGGCATATGAGTATATAATGAAGTCTTCCTTCTTAACTCTCTCTCTATCCACCTAGTTCCTTTATCCAAGGTCAATCAATATTGACAGTTCCATAGGTACTCTGTGAATAATAATCAAATGTGTCCAGATAAGAGTTTGCATAACAGAAAATGGACTAGTATACCTTTCATGAATATTCTGTTGTTCATAGAAGAATATCTGCAACTGGGTAATTTATAAAGAAAAGATTATTATTTCTTACAGTTTTAGAAGCTGGAAAAGTCAAGTTCCAAGAGACACATCTGGTGAGGGCTTTCTTGGTGGAAACTCTCTACAGAGTTTCCATGGCAACACAGGTTGTCACATAGTGAGGGCTGAGCAAGACCCATCAACGTGCTCACTTGCTCTCCTTATAAAGTCACCAGTCTGGGCCGGCCCGTGGCTCACTTGGGAGAGTGCAGTGCTGATAACACCAAGGCCAAGGGTTCGGATCCCTATATAGGGATGGCCGGTTAGCTCACTTGGGAGAGCGTGGTGCTGACAACACCAAGTCAAGGGTTAAGAGATCGGCCATATGACCCAGCTATCCCACTGCTGGGAATATATCCAAAGGAATGGAAATCATCAAGTCGAAGGTATACCTGTACCCCAATGTTAATTGCAGCACTCTTTACAATAGCCAAGAGTTGGAATCAGACCAAATGTCCATCATCGGATGAGTGGATACGGAAAATGTGGTATATCTACACAATGGAATATTACTCAGCTATAAAAATGAATGAAATACTGCCATTTGCAACAACATGGATGGACATTGAGAGAATAATATTGAGTGAAACGAGTCAGGCAGAGAAAAAGAAATTCCACATGTTCTCACTCATTGGTGGGAGCTAAAAAATAAACAAATTAATTCACCCAATAACAACTATACTTTTTTGAAGTTGTTACAACAAGCAAACGGAAAGGACATTCTTGGGGGGGG